ACTTTAATAAAAAATATAAATTTTCTTATAACCGAATGAAAATTAGTAAAAAATATTTAATTATGTTGTATTCTTTCATCTAAATATAGTATGAACTGAAGAAAAATCTTGGGTGTCTTTTCTCCGTTTGAAGGAAAAGTGAGGCACAATAACTTATTATACAATAATTTTTTAAAAATATATATTTATTTAAACTTCCAATATCCGCTTTTGTAGAAGTAGGGATGTACTATGACGACTAAAGGACCACCCGTGTATTAATTAGACTATTGTCCTTCATGTTTGAGACATTTCCTCAATCTTTTTATTATAATATGAAAAAATTTATATGATAAGTTAACGTCTTGTGACAAGATATATAGTGTTTAATAATATTAAATAAGAGTATTTGTTTATAAATAATTTCAAAAAATGTAAAGATTCAATATAAAATAAAATAAAATGAAAATGTAAAAAGACCAAAAAAGAGAAAAACTTAAATAATAAAAGAGTTATTTTCTGCTGTTTTCAATTTTTTTAAAATTTTTAAAAATAAAATAAATTCTTGTAAACTATCTCAATTTTTTTTTTTTTAAAAAATAAAATGTTTTGTCCTAATTTAAAATTTAAGATGAAGGGTCATTCAAATTTTGCCTAGTTAGGTTCTAGATGCCCATGGTTGATTATCAACACAATAACATTTCTAGAACGAATTAAAGAGAAGAAAAAGCCACCCTCTCATGCAAAATTTTAATAGACAATAAATAAATAAAAAAGGGGTTTATATATAACATAAATACTATATTTTCTACCTACATATAAACAATATTAAAATAAACCATATTGGTATATGCGATCGAGAATGGTGGCGACATTTCAAATTTGCTGCATCATTTTCTATCCTCATTATGCTCACTATCTTTTCTTTTTTACTTTTACCAAAAAAATAAATAAATAAATATTTATTCGCCATTTTAAAAATATAATTTAATGCACTATATATGTTAGTGCTATAAAGTTTGGTAATTTTGGTTTCTTTTAAACTATTGGTATAAAATGTTAGGTTGGCAAACTACTTTCTTTTATACCATAATTGAGGTTTGATGAGACATTTTTTTTTTATTATTATTATTGTGAATTTCAATTATGTCTTATAAATTTTACCCACTTAGTTTTTTTTTTTTTTAAATAAATATTAAAAAAATTGACTAAACTCATGTTTATATTAAAATTTGATCATTAAGTAATTTCAATTTTCTCTATAATTAGTTGAGAGAGAGCTACCATCAAAATTGCTTTCTCTTTTCAATATGCTCTATGTAGTTATTTTATATTATTATTTTAAAAATTATTTAATACATTCATACTAATAAAGACA